TAAGGACTTGGTAATAGTTCCTCATAATCCTGTTCTGTCTGACCATTTTTTTAATAACCTTTGAGTTTACATTAAATGACTACACACTCACTGAGAGTAAATTTCATCTCAGCAGGTGATTATCAGAAAATGCTGTAACCACATTTAAACAATCTCTTCCATCAATGTTTTCCTCTGTCTTGCAGAGTAATGCATCAGAGAACAGAGACTTAGATCATCTAGTTGATCATCTTACAACTTCAATGCAAACTTCACTTGACAAAATTGCTCCACTGAAAAAGAAAGTAATCAATCAGAGGAAACTGGCTTCTTGGTTCAATTCTGAGTTACGTACTTTAAAGCAGCATCTAGAAACCAGGAGAGAAAATGGTGCTCTACTAATGTTGAAGAATTTTATTTAACTTGGAAAGATAGTCTGCTAACATATAAAAAAGCTCTCCGTAAAGCTAGAACTTTATATTACTCATCTTTAATAGAGGAGAATAAAAGTAACCCTAGGTTTCTGTTTAGTACTATTGCTAGACTAATTAAAAGTTCCATTTCTGTTGAACCATGTATCCCTACAACTATAAGTAGTGATGACTTCATGAGATTATTTATAAATAAAATTATTTTAATTAGAGAGAAAAATCAAACCATCCTTCCTTCTACTATCTCTAGTCCCCTGTCAAATGAGGCAACTTTAAAAATTTCACTAGAGCCTGATTTATGTTTGGACAGTTTTTGTTCTGTTGAGCTCTGAATTGTCAAAAATAATAACCTCATCCAAACCATCCACATGCCTGCTAGATCCCATCCCAACCAGACAGTTTAAAGAGGTATTTCCTCTAATTAAAGTCCACATTTTGGATCTACTTAATTTGTCTTTAATGGATGGTTATGTATCACAGTGCTTTAAGGTTGCTGTAATTAAACATTTACTTAAGAAGTCTGACCTTGATTCAGAAATTCTGGCCAACTATAGACCTATATCTAATCTAACTTTCATCTCAAAAATTCTAGAGAAAATAGTTGCAGGTCAGTTGCGTGAACATCTACAAAGAAATAATCTGTTTGAAGAGTTTCAGTCAGGGTTTAGAGCTCATCATAGCACAGAAACAGCACTAGAAAAAGTAACTAATGATATTCTCATGGCCTCAGACAATGGACTTGTGTCTCTACTGGTCCTGTTAGACCTCAGTGCTGCATTTGATACAGTTGATCATAATATTTTACTACAGAGGCTTGAATATGATGTTGGGATTACAGGAACAGCTCTAAAATGGTTTAAATCATATCTATCTGATAGATCCCAGTTTGTAAATGTAAATAATAAATCTTCTTCATACACCAAAGTTAGTCATGGAGTTCCTCAGGGATCAGTGCTTGGGCCAATACTCTTTACTTTATATATGCTTCCATTAGGTAAAGTTATTAAACAGCATGGGATAAATGTTCATTGTTATGCTGATGACACACAATTATATTTGTCCATTAAACCCAATGAATCCAATCAGCTACTACAAGCATGTCTTAAAGACATAAAAACCTGGATGACCCTTAATTTTATCCTTCTAAACACAGACAAGACTGAGGTTTTGGTTTTTGGACCTGAGCACCTTAGGAATGAATTTTTCAGTCTTTCTCCCTCCTTAGATGCATTAATCTGTCTTCCAGCTCTAATGTTAAAATTCTTGGTGTTATTTTTGATCAGGACATGTCTTTTATCCCCCACATTAAAAACGTTACTAGAACCTCCTTCTTCCACCTGCGTAATATCACTAACATTAGAAACATCTGATATAAATATGATGCAGAAAAACTGGTTCATGCATTTGTCACGTCTAGACTGGACTATTGCAATGGTTTATTATCTGAATGTCCAAATACTTCTTTAAAACGTCTTCAGTTGATCCAAAATGCTGCTGCCAGAGTCTTAACTGGAGTTACTGGGAGAGATCATATCTCTCCAGTTTTAACTTCTCTCCATTGGCTCCCTGTCAAATCCAGAATATAATTCAAAATCTTACTTCTAACCTACAAAGCTCTCAACAACCTGGCTCCATCTTATATTACAGATCTTATTGTTCCATATTTTCCTAACAGAGCACTTCGCTCTCAGACTGCAGGTTTACTTGTGGTTCCTAGAATTTACAAAAGCAGAATGGGAGGCAGATCTTTCAGTTATCAGGCTCCTCTCTTGTGGGACCAACTTCCAATCTCTATCCGTGAGGCTGACACATTATCCAGTTTTAAAACTAGGCTTAAGACTTTCCTTTTTGCTAAATCCTATAGTTAGGTTTGGCTTGGGTTTCCTGAGCTGTCCCTTAGTTATGCTCCTATAGGCTTAGACTGCTGGAGGATGAACTGACCACAATTTTCACTCTGCTACTGTCTTTACTTACTCTGCTCAACTTGTTTTGTTTTTTTAATTATTTTTTCTATCCATAACATTTGTTTTTTTTGTCTTTCAGATACACCTGGACCTATATCTGGACCTGGACCTATATCTGGACCTGGACCTATACCTGGACCTACCATTCTGTGTTCGTCTGTCTCTCCTTCCTGTCCTCTCAACCAGCCGGTCAAAGCAGATGGTCTCTTGTCCTGAGCTGGTTCTACTGGAGGTTTCTTCCTTTTAAAAGAGAGTTTTTCTTTCCACTGTCTCCACTGTGCTTGCTCAGGATGGGAAACTGCAACAAAGTCAAGATTCAACTTGTCTGCTGGATTCCTTAGCTAGAGAACTTTACTAATTGGCTTTTATGTGAATGTTCCTGTAAAGTGCCCTGAGACAACTTTGTAGTGATTTGGCGCTTTATAAATAAACTGAATTTAATTGAATTGAACTTGGTGCTCCTATCCAGAATTTCTCACAGTATGATCAGGTTTTTTCCGCTAACTTCCATTTGATAGATATCAACTATGTTAAACCATTTATTTGTTTCTTTAAATGTTGATAAAACAAATTATATGATTTTTAGTAACAACAAGAAAGTGCTTGATACTCCATTTAGAGTCGATGGAATTGAAATTAATAGAGTCAATGAGGTGAAATTTCTGGGTGTCATCATTGATGAAAAACTAACATGGAGATCTCACGTAAAAAACTTAAGAACTAAAATAGCTAAATCGATTGCAGTAATGTACAAAGTTAGAGAGTTATTCAATGATAAAGCAATGTTTCTATTGTATAATGCCATTATTGTTCCACATTTAATTTACTGTATTGAAGTCTGGGGTAAAGCATGTAAAACAATTACAAATCCAATTTTTATTTTACAGAAAAGAGCCATAAGAATTATTACCAGAAAAGATTATAACCATCCGTCAAATATATTGTTTCATCAGCTAAAGATATTAAAATTTTATGACTTGGTTGATTACAATATCTTACTGTTTATGTATGGGGCCAACAAAAACATACTACCTACTAACATTCAAGGGAAATTTGTTAAAAGAGAAAGTAATTATTATCTTAAGGGGATGGAGATGTTTGTGAAGCCGTGGTGTCGCACCAGTCTGAAGATGTGATCCACTAGATCTCAGGGTATTAGATTGTGGAATGATCTGGAGGTTGATATTAAAAATGCCAAAACTATGTACATATTCAAGAGGATGATAAAAATTTGTTTTTAAAAAAAATATTAAGTATAATGTGAGTTCATAAAAATTGTTTACAGTTGATCTTATATTTTAACTAAGTTTTTTTATTATTTTTTACTTTTTTATTTTATTATTAATTCATCTTGCTTTTGTATAGTAATTTTGTTTGGAATATATTTTGGGGACAAGGGGCAGATATTATAAGAATTCATTCTTCTTCTGCTGCCTTTCATTTTATTTCGGTGATTGTATATCTTTTTTCTTTTCTTTAAATTGTATTATATTTGTTGTTTGGATGAAATGAAATGGATAAATAAAACATACATACATACATACATTTGTGGTCTCTGGTTAAAGGCTCTGCACTCTGTTTCATTTTCACTGGCCCTAACTGTTTTACTTAATACAATATACATATTATGTATAAAAATATAGACAAATGAAAGTGTGTAGTATATAAATTGACAGTAAAATATATACGTACATATTCACATATACATGGTGGTGTTCCAAGCCTCTTTTGGTTCTGCAATGCTTGCTTAAATAAGTTTGAATTGAAAAGAAAAGTTTGTGAACTAAGGCACATGAGTAAACAGGAAACAAGAGGCAGAACACTCCAAATTGGACACACAAGAAAAAAAAGAGGAAGGCCATTGTCCCCCCGAAGGATTTAAATAGTGAATGTAGTTTTCAAGATGTGTTTTTCTGGACTGGAATTGAACAGGGAATGCAAGTGAACCTTAATGTTTTTTGTGCAAGATATTCAAGTGGGTAGGAATGACACTACGGAGAAGCACAGAGGTAGTTTTTTTTTTCTTTTCTTGTCTGATGCAGCGTAGAGAGATAGATCCTGGTGAGTGGAGGGAGCAGTTTTATCCATCACCAGGTGCAATGCAGTTGCACAAAAAGACAGGACAGGCCTTGGCCACCATGGATAATCTTCTGCCACCCCAATCATTTGAGAAAGCTTTACTTTTAAGTAGAGAAATTAGAAACCAGAGTTTATGCCAATTATGAAATGGTTGATTTATGATGGCTATTTTGGATTTTCACTTAGCAACCCAGTTTTCAAAAGTGACCTTTCTTATGCCAAGATGCAGCCACAAACAAAATAGAAGTTAGTACGTTGCTTATTTTTCAAGCTTTGCAACTCACAATATGGATGTAAATATATGGCAGTAGCCATCTTGGATTTTGGTTTGCTAACCCAATTTTTGAAAGGAACTGCCACTTCATGCAATTCATAGCTATTTATTTATTTTTTGATATACATATACATGTATTTTGTATGGGTTTTCTATATATTTTACACATTACTGTAATACTTTATTTCAGCAGTTAAATAAAATTGTTTCTGTGTGGCTGCTGGGATCTCCTAACTAATCTAGGACCACCATCAAGTAAAATGAGACCATTACCTGCTGGCTTGAAGCCCGTCAGCTGCACCACCTAAAAAAGGAAAGAAACACATAAACACATACACAACATACAATTAGAGTCATGCAAAATGTGTAACTGATGAAACATGCATGCATTACTCACTTGGTTTCCTGATGCTTGTTTCAAAGAAAAACGCACAAAACTCTCCTTTCTGAAACTTTCTGAAATAAAAAAAGAAAAACATTTTAACTGAACATTTGCATCTATGTTTCAGGACCCACACATCTGTTTATGCGAGGTCAAATCAAGTGAGACAAAGTCAAGCTGAGTACAAGACAAAAAAACCTTTGTCAAACTCATAGAGAAATAAAAATGCTAACAATCTGACAAAAAAGATTATGAGAACTTTTAGTTTAAATTCTTTAGCATCTCTAATTGGCACATTTGCTTTGTCTGTTCTCCTGATGTGCATCACGGCTATCTTTAAGTGGGGACTTTGTTTGTTCTCTGCCGACATGTGAATGTTTTGAGTACTCTGGTTTCCTCCCACAGTTCAAAAACAATCATGTTAGATTAGAGGTTCGAAATGTACTTTAGGAATAAATGTGTGCTTGGCTGTTTTTCTTGGTGTTGGCCCTGTGATAAACTGGCAACTTTTCTACTATCTTTCAGTTTCTAAATGCTTCAAAACAAAGCAGCTAGATTTATGTTCCATAGATGAAGGTAATCCCATTTGGGGAGCTTTTCTAATTCAGAACTGAAAAATGTTGAGTTTCTGACTTTAAGGCCCTATTTACACAGACACAATGGGGGGAACGTAGGCTTTTTTGTATGTTAATTAGAGGAAAAGATTTGCATTGACACGGTTGGATTTTGTGTTTACATGCATCCACAGGATCCCCCCCCCCCCCCCGCCCTCCCGAATCTGCTGTAGTTACCATGCCGGGTCATTAGATGGCGCTGTGAATTTTGTACCTTCACCTAATGCACATGCGTACTGCCTCGGCACACTCTTTTCCTCTGGGCTAAAAGCTCAGCTAACAACAACTTAACAACAAGTTAAAGCTGGATTGTGGATAAGAGTCGACAGATTTGACGCCAAGCAGGACCGCTTCATCTAACAGCTCCACACCGGTCGCTGAGTGGACCAGAACCGAGTCGATGATTTCAAACTTTACTCCGTGATAATCAGTAGCTGATTTACTGCAGGTAAATCAAATGTTCTTAATAATGTTAGCTTGTGTTTGCTTCGGTTACAAAACAACCAACTGAGTTTTTATATTTTCCTGAAAGAAGAAGAAGCTGTCTCCCACCAGGCGGACCAGAACGAGGCTCGGCCCAAATGCACTGCAGGAGGACATCGAAGAGAGAGATGTTGGATGAACTATTTATGTAAAATTCCCCTCAGTAATTTTATTCAATCCATTTAATGTTTTAAGCTGCATTAATCAAACGAGTGACAGCCTGAACGAGCCAGATGAACAAAGTGGGACCAGAGTCCAGGATGAAAACAAGAGTCCAGTTGTTCATTAATGCAGTTTACAGTTAACTTGTTTTTAATAGTGTGTTCAGTTTAATTATCAGTGTTTGTGTGACATACAGTTTGTGGTGTTGAATAAATAAATAAAATAATAATTAATCCTGATGTCTTCATTTTCAATCTTAATAATGTGCAATATGTTTAGCATTTTAATCACATAATTTGAATTACATAATGTCCAGATAGCTTCATTATATATCTCAAACTTAAGATAAATACTGTTTATTATTATTATTAAACTGTTATTATTTAGCACATTTAGATGTTATAGTGGAGCGCGACGTGTGCGCGTGCCTCGTTCTATAAACAGTGATATTAGAACTGGATCAGACTGTGTCTCTTCCAACACAGATGTCGGTCACAGCACCTGGAATCTGACGTAGATTAACTACGAGATTAAAAATATATTCCATCAATCATAGTTCTGAAAGCAGTGTATCCGCCGCCATGTTGATAGAAATATAGCGTCTGTCCACGCGTGCGTGTGCGCATGTGGTTTAACACAAAGCCTCAGCAGGAGATGTTTACATTATCAGCGGGGGGTCAGCGAAAAACCTCCACTCTGGAAGGTGGGTTCAGAAACCTCCAGATTCAAAGAGGGGGGCCACTGGTGTCGTGTAAATGAACAGCAGAACCGCAGAGAGAAAGCTGTGGATTCACTCAAAATACGCGCCGTGTAAACGGCCCCTAAATTGCATGCAATGCCACATTTTTGCAAGGGAAATCCACATGCTTATTAATCTCACTCTGTTTCTCCTGAAGGACATTACGGCCTCTGTTTACCGGGTTCATGAAAAATCTTTTGGTCACATGCATGAAAGTGTGGATTCGAATGAAAATGACTGAGTATCATGCTTTCTGCTCCATTGCAGGTTTTAGAAAGCTAAAATCTGAGACCTAACCTAACATGCATGTTTTTGGTCTGTGAGATACGGAGGCTGACAGGTGTAAAACAACTGCAAACAGTGAAAACAGCTGCAAACAGTGAAGAAAAATATCTTATGATAGTCTATTTGCAGTTGGCAAACGTCTGTCTTCCTCCAAGTTTCTTTTATGATTTGTTCTTTGGTCAACTGCCCCTAGTGGTCTGGAGCACTTCCGTTTTATGGAGCAAGTTTACTGGTGTTCTATTTCGTATAGGCTCTGCCCTTTAAGGCTGTCGCTAGTGGGTTTTATCCCAACGCGCGCAGCACTGAAAACTTAAGTCCATGCCCACCTGTTGTGTGGGCCTCACCCCCGGTCCGTATAAATTACGGTGAGACCAGGTAATCGGCTCCCATTTTTCTTCAGCAAGCAACCAGCACTGTTTTTTAGTTTTTTACTAGAACAACAATGTCCAGCACCAGCACCATCCGCCTGTGCCCGTCCTACAAGACCTCCGCACGACATCTGTGAAGGATGTCTGGGTTCCCGCCATGCCGACCTCGCCTCCTCCTGCCATCTCTGTGATCTCCTCCCTCCTGAGGAGAGGCAGAGGCGAGCAGCCTTGTTCAAGGCTAACAATGAGGAGTGCCTCTCCGTGACGGGGGACTGTTCGCTAGACGATGCCATCGCCTTTTTTGACGCCGAGTCACGGAGCGAATCGGATGATTCCTCCAGAAAAGGCGACATCAGCAGCAGCCCCGCTGCTCATTCCCTCCTGGAGAGCATAGTGTTGGAACAGGGGGGACAGAGCGGATGCTCACCCCCCCCCCCCCCCCCCCTGGGCCTTTCCGCATCGGCAAACACACTGCTCCCAGCTGTTGGTGCCCTCCTCTCAGAGTTGCCTGACATAATCCAGGAGGTGGCTGACACGAAGGGACTTTCCATCCCTCTCCTCCCCCTGCCCAGATCGGATGATCTAGCGGGAAGGTTTGGCTCCACCCCGGCTCGCCGCCCTGACCCCATCTGGCCTTGTTTCCCAGCAGTGACGTCCTACAGGAATGAGGCTGCAGCTGAACCTGATAAATTAAGATCACCCGTCTCCACCTTCGCTCCCATCACCAGAGTGGAGGGGTTTACTGAGTGGAACTTTCCCTCGGTACCCCTGGAGCCAAGTCTGGTGGAAGCACTCGGAGCAAAAGTGTCCAGGTTGCCAGGTCCAATGTCGCCCTGCTGGCCTACAGCATCTCCAAAAGGCTGGAGGACACAGACCTGCCTGAAGAGATGAGGAGCTCGCTCTGCAAAGTATCTGACGTCATCCTCAACCTGTGTGCATCCTCTGCGGTCTGTCTGTCTCGCATCGCCGCCTGTATGACAATGATCCAGAGGTCCACCTGGCTCCGACACTTCCCCTCCTTGCCGGAGAAACCGCAGAAAGACCTGCTAGAGGGCCCCATCATGACGGACGCGCTGTTCGGGGCCAATTTCAAGGCCATGCTTGAAAAGTCGAAGATGTCGGAGGAGGTGTCGAAGACTGTGCGCCACCTGATGAAGCCGCACCCCCCCGCCTGCTGGAGAGATTGCCGTGGCCAGGGGCAGCAGCAGAGACATTCCACAGCTGCAGCAGCATCCTCCCGCCCCGCTCCGCTGCTGGCCCCTCCTGCCAGAGAACAGTCCTTCTCATTGCGGCAACCAGCGTCTCAACGTTTCCTCAGAGACCCCCAACAGGCACCGCCCTAGAACAACCAGTCGCAGTGCTCACGGGGGAGAAGATACATGAAAGGACTCCTTGTGGAGGATGTGTGTATGCATAATGATGATATGAGTTTTAAAATAAAACGAAAACATCATTCAGAGAATAAAGTGTCTTCTGATTCCAGCCTGACTGTCAGATTGAATGATCTCACAGCTGTTTCTCTTCACACATTCTTCACACAAAATGAGCCGGTAACCTCAAAACAGGTTTTTAAAAGTCACTGCAGTGCGGGAAACCACACAAAATGCTCGCTTGACACAGCAGCTAGAAATGATTCTTCTCAGCAGAACGAGCCAAGATAAAAAAAACCTTGCTCTCAGCCCAGGTTGTGTTCTGATTTTTCTGACCACAGCGGGAACAAACGCGTTTCCCCATGGCAACTGCAATCTCCACTCAAATGACGTCGCATTTCTAAAGGCGCTCACGCCTCTCCTCAGTGCGTGTCAGCTCACATCAACTCTGATGCGAGCCCGCAACCTGAGCGCAGCACAGAGGCGATCCCAGAGCCATTTCGGCAAGGCCTCCTCATGGGTCGCTCGAAGAGCATCTCCAGAGCATATGACGGTGGTGGAGGCCCTAGCTTGGTTAACGTCCGTAAAGGACCTGACACAACATAAAAACGTGTGCCTGCTCCCAGAGCGTTACGCAGAGAGGCAGCGAGTGTGCTCCCTGGACAGATGGATGAACCGTCTTATCAGCAGAGGTTATACGCTACAGTTCGCAGCTCAACCCCCACTGTTCAGAGGGATTATAGAGACGGTTCTGTCATCTCCAGAACAGATCTCGTCTCTCCACTCAGAAGTGCAGGAATTACTGATAAAAAAAACAACATAATTTCCAGGTTTCCCAACGGAGAGGAAAAAACAGGGTTTTACTCACGTTACTTCCTGGTTCCGAAGAGGACCGGAGGCATGAGACCCATTTTGGACCTATCCATATTCAACAATTCGATCATGGAGAGACAGTTCCACATGCTGACAACCAGACAGCTGTTGGACAACATTCACCAGAACGATTGGTTTACCTCCATAGATCTAAAGGACGCCTATTTTCACATACCAATCCAGTGTTGTTTTGAACTGAATTCTTATGGACAATGCTGCCCCCCCCACACACACACACACTCTTGCAAAACTAAGCTATTTAAGTGTTAAAACACATTTTGACTGTTCAACAATAAACCTGAGATAGAAACTAGATAAAGAGCATGTTGTGCTGTACCATTTTTGATGACTAAAGATGTGGAGGTGGAACAGGTGGGTCCAGAAGTCTCACTTGTCTCAGGGCTGGAGGGAGTTGGCAGACTGCGGCTCCAGGAAGTTATCGGAGCCCTCTGAGAAGGCAGGAAGCTGGTAGGCTGGGAGCAGTTCTATCGACATGATCTAGTCAGAAGTTCTGGTACGATTAATATTTGCAGGAACTTTGTATATCACTGTGGTCCACTTACCGTAAAAGACAAGGCTTTTCTTTTTTCTTTGATTCTCTTTATGGCATTCCTCACCTAAATAAGACACATATTTATAACCAATTATTTGGCCAAAAAGCCAAAGCTTTACAAAGAGACAGAGGCAACAGTATCGCTGACCCTGGCTTAAATACTGTCTTACCTCACTGTTGTAAACGGCATAAACTAAGAAGATGTAGAGGCCCTGTGGAGAGGAGAGACACTCATAAAAACACATTAACAATGTGCATAAAGAAAATAAAAACATGGACAATGTAGGTCTTCATTTGCTACTCCATGTTGTCACTTCAGTCCAACTATGCTTTTCTTTCTACCAACAAGGAGAAAATAATTCAGTTCTGTTAAGCTCTTCTCCTTTGAATGAGGATATCAGTTGGATTCATAAAGTGTTGTTTTTAAATTCAGCCAACCTAAGTCTAAAATGAATCCCTTTAGTTTCACTAAAATACAAAATGAATAGCAACAATATTTTTTGAAATAGTCTATTTTTTAATCTCCGATACTAAAGTTTGCTGACGTTGAGTATGTCAATGTGTTGAGATACAGTAACAACAGAAGTGTCACCAATATTAGAAATGGTAAACTGCTTTTATGTGGATTGTAGATGTGTGGCAAACAGACAATCTTTAGAAAAACTGCCAAGCTGTTCCCAAAATCTTGTCCAAGACATCAATAAAGTTTCTGATCACAGATTCCAGCCAAATTATTTTGGAAGCATGCTAATTTATCTTTTAAAGTTCAGCCAGGCTAGCTTAGTTAGCCTTGAGTCTTTATCAGCATGTAAACAAATTAAAATTGGCTCAAATAAAGCCCAAACTTTAGCAAACAGTTCAAAAAGCACAGTTTTGTTTACCATCTGCCATGAGGATCACAATCACTTTTCTTTGAGGAAAAGCAGGTTAGTTGCATTCAGTGTATTTGGGAAAAACACACACACACATTGGCTATAAACATACACCTTCTTCCTCCTCCTTGGTGGTGAATCTTTTCTTCAAGTAGACACACTCAAGTATTTGGAAGTTTTGTTAAAGAATAGAGCATGGAATAGACTGTTATTTCACAGTAATATGGTTGTTGCTCCAGTCTGTCGGCATAAAGAGTAAGTTGAGCTGAAACAAAAAGCTCTAATTTACTAGTCTGTCTACAATCCACTCTTCACCTATAGTCATTGATTCTGTCCAAAAGTGTAAGATACAAGCTGCTGAAATTATCATTCTCCATACGTGTCTGACTTCAGCCTTAAGAAACAAAAGGTGAGGAGCCACTTCATTTGAGGGAAGTTGGGAGTTTTACCACTGCTCTTCTGCACTAAAATAGCCAGCTCCGGTGGTACAAACATCTGATAACAGTGCCTTCCATATGCCTCTCTTTAGAAGCTTTCTGAGCTGGTCCTACTCTGAGAAGAACGTGGGGTATACCAAACAAGTACTGGAGGGATTATCCTCTCTGGCCCGTGAACAAATTGGGATCACACAGGAGGAGCAGGAGAGTGTCGTTGTGGAGAGGAAAGTCTGAGGTCCTCCTGGACATAGACATATATACATAGATGCCTCATTGAGCGCTGAATCATACGTTGATGTCGCCGTCATATTTGATGTGGCAAAAGTGAAGCGATAGGAGAAGATTCCTCATTCATTCAGAGTGACAACACGGATGAGGCTGGGCAAGACTATTCTTTTACAAGGTTCATAACTTACGCACACACAAACTGTATATCAGAATCAGAAGAATCAGAATAAACTTTATTGGCATTGCACCGAGATACAACGCGAAAATGTACGTACAGTCGTCCGGAGATGGGTGGAGTGCACGAAGCTGCGACTAAAATAATTAGCGCGGCCCTCTTATTCATCAATCCATCCATTATATTTACCCGTTTATTACATTTTGGGTCACGGGGGTCGCTGCTGCCCATGTCCAGCAATCAATGTGCGAGGGGCGGGGTACACCCTGGATGGGTCGCAAGTCCATCACAGGGCCACATAGAGACAAACGAGACAAACAACCATTCACTCTCTCACTCACGCCTAGGGACAATTTAGAGTTACCAATCAGCCTAACATGCATGTTTTTGGTCTGTGGGAGGAAACCAGAGTACCCAGAGAAAACCCACGCATGCAAGGAGAGAACATGCAAACTCCACCCAGAAAGGCCCCTGGACCAGGGTTTGAACCAAGGACCTGCTCGCTGAGAGGCAGCAGCTCTACCTGTTGCGCCACCGTGCTGCCCTATGTATATATATATATATATATATATATATATATGTGTGTATGGGAGTGGTGGTGCAGGGGTTAGATAAGGTGGGCCTGTGATCGGAAGATCGCCGGTTCAAGCCCCGGTACTGATATCAAAAATGGGGGTGGGGTAGGTGAAGCACCCACACCTGCCCCCACCCTCATTCATCCCACTTTGGGCCCTTGAGCAAGGCCCTTAACCCCCACCATCTGCTCCTCCGGGTGTCCTAGATAGCAACTTTCTTCTCCACACAAAGGGCTGTGGTAGATCGGTGGTCTGTGGTTGCGTCAGGAAGGACATCTGGTGTAAAAATAACTGCCAAGCCTTCCTGCGACTTAGTTTGCTGTGGCAACCCCTTAAGAAGGGAGCAGCCGAAAAAAAAAATATATATACATACATATATCTGTATAT